GGGGGGGATGCCAAACACGAGGGGCTTCTCCATTGTTTGCGAAGAAGCTGATGGAGCCGTGTGTCCTTTCTCCGCGTCGCCTGTTTTGCATAGCCAATTTCCGTCCATTCAACCAGACAGAAAAGGCAAGTGTCCAGCATTGTACCCGGGGCGGCGGATGAGGATGAGACTGAGGTGGCTCTCTCGTAAAGAGAGACGGGAGGGGGGGATTGTGAATAGATGGACACCTTGTCGTTTATTATGCGGGACAAGCTCAGGCCGGCGATAAGGCGAGGAATGCTCCGTGCAACGCTGAAGGAAAAGTTGTCCTTGATCTGACCCGCGCACGCTACGTTGATGTCATGCATCGAAAGAAAAAGTTGCCTTTTCATCTCACGTCAAGCCTCGTTGAAAAAAAAAAAAGGAAGCTGCACTTGTCAGGGTACGCTCACGACGACGACGACGGTTTCTTTTCATGTACAGATGGGCTTCGTTCTTTCGGTTCTTGGAGAGACACCTGTAATGCGCATGCCAGGCCAGTAGTTGGCGACGTTGCTTTGTATAGCAACATTTTGACTGAAACACCATCTTTTGACGGCAAACCAGTTGAGACTGAAACAGAAACAAGTCATTTTAAAATAATCCAAATTCCTTTTGCAATCTGACCAAGGGGGAGTAACATTTCTTTGAATGTGGCCATTTTTTTTTTCTGTTGAGGACCCTAAGGCGCCACTGGACCACCGCCAAGACTTTTAGTGTGATGTCAGCCGTTTTCACCCTTTCGACAGGTTGAAGACGGTCATCTTCCCAGACTACTGACACACATTATTTTTTCTCCAACCAGTTGTAAAATAAGAATATACTCACATTTATCTTCTCTTGCTCCAGTTGAGTATCCCAGTGTAGCGCTCAAATTCACTTTTTGGCAAATATTCCTCCCCATAAGTATACAGCTGGCATTTGGCCACGAAGGGGGAATGGGAAAATGGCTCACAACAGCCTCACTGTTCGCCCTCCCCCTTTTCAACGTTCTGTTGAAAGCACAGTTTGCTTAGTCTTTATTAAGGGTTTCTTAAACACACAACTCTATAAAGGGGCAAGTCGTTAAAAAAAAAAAAAAGCTAAGGACAGGCCCCCCATTCTATTGTACTGCATGGATGGAGAAAGCCAATTAGCAAAGTGACCTGCTTTTAAAAAAAAAAAAAAAAAAAATTAAGGGTGGTGTTGGGGGGGTTCTGCAAGAAATTAATGGTTTGAAAAAAAAAGACTTACTATGGTGACCCTGGATTATTTTTTCATTCTTTCCAAATTTTCACGGGGTGCTACTGAGTGAGTTTTTGGAAGGTTTTCTTCAAAAATAAATTTTCACAAAACAAAACAATCTTTTTTTTCGGTAGATCCCCCTAAAAGGCGATTTTTTTTTTTTTGAAGAAGAAGAAAAACAAAACTAGTCATTTGGGCCCGACGAGTAATAGTTGTCGTTCCGTTGGTCTTAGGTTATATGGACCACTACAGAGTCCCAGGTCGTGTTAAAAGAAGTCCATCCACTCATTTGAGGCTTTCTGGTTTAAACAAACCAAAGTTTAGGGCCTCTTAAAAGCCTTTTGTGAGACATTAATGACAAGTGCCGAGGTCTGATGGCCATCACGGTGAGCTTTAAACCCTAACCTTATGCCCGGCGCTTGACCCTGCAAGTCCCTGTCGGATGAAAATAAATGTCTTCTATATTTGACACACCACAGAGAAGCCCGTTGTTAAAAACTCTGCCAATTTTGAACGATAAAAAGAAGAAAAAAAACCAAAACTGTCGAGTATATAATATGAGGCTTAAAAATGGTGCAATTTCAAGCCACTCTCTCCGCTCCGCCCCATCCCACCCCCAGCTGTCAACTGT